AAAAAAAAAGAGTGAAAGTCTGAGCTCAGGGGATGCCTTCTTCAAGGTGCGCATTCTCTTCTCCCAATATGCTGGGGACTTAGCCTTTCGCAACACCACTGATCAGAACACACTGGAAAAAAGTGAATGCCCCTAGAACTTGCTCTAGGACATCAAGAGTAGACTGTTACTAGGGCCATAAATTGCTCTAGTGAAGCTTTGCTTTGAAGGATGAAACACAAGCTGATACAGAGCATGTGCAATGCTGTGTTAGGGTCTGGAGGGTGGAAGAGAATCAGTTGATAATGCAAAACTTGGATGGAAAGGAGAGAGGGAGATGAGGTTGTTTCTCCAGAACAATGGTTTCCTGTCATTGCTTCTGGGTAAGGACTTCACCAAGAGGATCTTCACAAGATGATCAAAATTGCTCTCCAGCTAGTGACGTGTGGGTTTACCACATATGCACACCAGATGTGCACGTGATTGCTTAGCAAACAATAGGAGTAGTTCAGTTAATCTTTCCTAAGGAGTTCTTTTTGATGTTGTTGAGAAGAGATACTTCAATTGGATTGGCTGCTAGTGAAATGTGGGTTAATCCTGAGGCCTAGTGAAGGCTGACGTAGAAACAACATGGTACAGATGGCATCTCAAATAGGCCTCCCAGAGGGAATAGCTTCATGACTTCACTGCCTTGACTCCAAGTAAAAGAAAAGCAAGTATTGATAGATATCTGAGTGAGAACTGGGGAGGAGCTGGAGGTTAGGGGCAAAACACAATATTTGAAGTGTGCTAAAATGTTTTTCCTTTTGATGCTTCTGTTGTGTAATTCTTTGCTCTTCAGCCCAAGCACCCCCTTGGAGAAGATTTGAGGCTAAACTATGGAGAAAAACTTTGCAGCTCACAGGGGACCTTCATCTGGAAAGACAGGAGTGGGAGGAAACAGTGACTCAGAGAGGCCTTAGGAAGAAGCCCTTTGTAGAAAGTGGAGGAAACCCAAAAGTGTCTAAGCCATTTTAGTTTTGAAAATCTGCCTTCTATTAATGTGCCAGTGAAGAAAATAGCCTGTTACCTTCCTCAGGGAGAGTTCCACATTTGTGTCAGCATTGAAGTTATATTTGGCTATAGCTTCTCCAATTTCTCCAGGCTGGGCCGGGGGAGGTGGTCTTGCAGGTTGTGATTTTTCAGGTGGTAGGAGTTTCTGTGAAAGAAACAATTATTTATTTTGGGCCTGTGGTGACTTTGGGAACAGTCACATTTAAGAGCAAGGAGACAGGACTCACCTCTACATATGAGATTGGGAATATGCCCACTCTCCCGTGATGCTCTCCCTCATACCAGTTTTGATCGATTTTCCTGAGGATGTAGATGGTATCACCTTTTTTAAATGACAGCTCCCTGGAAGAGATAAGTTTCAGTTTGTCTTCTTGATGGATAACTTGCTTTTAAGATCACACTCACTCTAGATCTGTATCCGGGTGGGGAACATACTTTTAACTTTTAAAAAATCTGTCCAGCTCACTTGGATTAAAGATTTTCCTTACAGATTCTTAGGATTCACCTAAGAACATTATAACTGTAGAAATGATCACGAAAATAAGTTGAAAACACAGTGTCTGAAATAAATCACAGGCAGATCAGCATGAAATTTAAAGAGGGGTAGAGATCTGTTATCTACTCCTAGAAAATGGTAGAGCAGTTGTGAAGCTTGACAGGCACTGACTGTTTCATGTCCTGAAGCTAGTAAGCTAGTTTGTTTTCTGCAAAAACTTACCAGAAAGAACATAAAGATCATTTCACTGTAGAAAAGAAGTGCCATTCCAGAACACTTTTTTATTTGTGAATCCTTAATGCTGGTTGATAGGCATTTAAGAAGAGTGTCTTGATAAAGAATTTGTTTTTTGAAATGGAAAAGATCTTATGCTTTCATTTTTCATTTGTGCACCAAGATAAGCGTGTTTTCTAAGTGCAGAGATTGCTTGTGGCCTTATTTATTTCTTTTGCTTTTATAAAAAAAAAATTCTTTTCAGGAGACTATCTATGCCTTTCCATTTTGGCTACTTCTCAGAAGATAGCAAATCATTTGGGGATTTGTTTTTAAGCGATAAAGGCATTACTCATTTTGAAAAGTTCATGCCTAAATTATTACCCACACCTGTTTTTTTATGGCTTCATCATTCAGGCAATCGTGTCTGTTTGTTGTTTTGCCTCCTCAGTTATGTTTTGTTGAAAGGTACTTACTTTCTATCTTTCACTCCCAAACCCCATCCCACTCTCAAGTCTCCTTTTTTAGTTCAGAATATTGACTTGGATCCCTTATTTGTGAGCGATCCATAATGGAGACAGATTTTTAGCTGATGTAGATTATTTCTCATTGATTAATTAATTGAAAAGACAATAGTGTATATGAGGAGAATTTTTACACAGAAGTGCTATATTCTTATGTAAAGTACTTTAACTTTTCAGTAAATCCAAAGGCAAAGATTCACAGACCCTTACATCCAACTACTATTTCATCATATGCAGGTGCCTGATGTAAAACAAAAACAACAAAAAAATCTGAAACATTTAGTGCCAGCAGCTTTTTTTCAGGGATGTTTTGTTTCTGGAAAGGAGACTAGGAAGTTTCTTTTTTCTTTCAAAATATGCATGTAAATTTGAGGCAATGAGTTATCTTTCTTTTTAGTATGCAGATGAATTTGTTTATAAATGTCTGTATTTAAAAATTTGACTTCACCTACATAAACGACAGTAGCCTCACTTGACAGAAAACCGTCTGTCATCTCTGAGCTAGATAAGAGTCCCGTTTGGTGTGGGCCTCTCTCTTACCCTGGTCTCCCCACCCCCAATTTTGAATAGTGACCTTTGATACCTTTCTCTCTTTTCCTTTTTAACAGTTGGACATTATTTGCGGTGAGTTACTTAGGTGTATTTTTTAAAACTAAATTTTCCTGTATCAGATAAAGAAAAATAGTCTTAAAAACAGACTTTAAAAGCAGACCTATCTATCTCCCGTTTTTAAGGTGTTGGGTATAGAAACACTCACATCTAGCTATTAGTTGCAAAGACTTAAAATGAGGCTAGTTCTTAGTCAGTGCTGTTTGGGCGTATGTGTTTCAAAGCTGTAAAATTCCTCCATCACCTTATTTGTGTGTCAAATGGGAAACCAAGCTGCAGATGATAAGCAAATGTTCTTTACATTTCTGGGAAGATCAAGAAGAATGGGCTTAAGCTGCAATAAATTCGATTTATTTATGGTATTCAGAAGACATCTTTTTCCTTACTAAAATGATAGAACATCTTCCATAGGTGATTATTTAATCTATTTTTTGAAAAGCTTATACAACTTGCAATTTTTTTTTTTTTTTTTTTT